AGGAGGAGGAGGAGCAGGAAGAGGAGGAGGAGGAGGAGGCAGAGGAGGAGGAGGCAGAGGAGGAGGAGAAGGAGGAGGATAAGGAGGAGGAGGAGGAAGAGCAGGAGAAGGAGGAGGAGGAAGAGGAGGAGGAGGAGGAGGAGGAGCAGGAAGAGGAGGAGGAGGAGGAGGAGGGACAGGAGGGACAGGAGGAGAAGGAGGAGGTGGAGGAGGAGGAGGAGGACCAGTGGAAACCCAAGAGTCACCAACGATGTTGGAATTAACCCTCCCCCCAAGCTCCCTCTTCATTTCCATTGAGGGAACTGCCTCGTTGGAAGACAACCGTTTGAAGACCTTGAAGCATGCCAAAACATCGTTGTCGGGATTTCCACGCCACGGATCAACCTGACTGCTGTATCCTGGCGATCTGGAACCGTGCCAGAAAACCATTTTTTTAGACTTCAACACTACGCATCAACATAACTGGTGCGCCCACGTAATCTGGAGTCCTTCCACTACACCATTTCTGGTACGTTGGTCATGGAGGTCTGTGAGACCCTCGCAATTTTCTAAAACGAACCTGCGCGGCGCTAAAACGATAAACGCATTTTGAAAAAGAGCCGCCCTCAATCCGTGAAGCTCTTGCAGTTGTTTTAAACGAGTGTGCGCGGCGCTAAGGCGAGAACCACATTTTGAAAACCACCCGCCCTCAATCCGTGAAGCCCTTGTACATTTAAAAAACGGATGTGCGCGGCGCTAAAGCGAGAACCACATTTTGAAAAGGAGCCGCCCTCAACCCGTGAAGCCTTTGCAGTTTTTTCTTAAAAACGAATGTGCGCGGCGCTAAAGTGAGAACCACATTTTGGAAACGAACCGCCCTCAATCCGTGAAGCTCTTGCAGTTGTTTTAAACGAGTGTGCGCGGCGCTAAGGCGAGAGCCACATTTTGAAAACCACCCACCCTCAAACCCTTGCAGTTTTTAACATGGATGTGCGCGGCGCTAAAGCGAGAACCACACTTTGAAAAGGAACCGCTCTCAATCCGTGAAGCTCTTGCACACTTTTAAAACGGATGTGCGCTGCGCTAAGGCGAGAACCACATTTTGAAAATCACCCGCCCTCAATCCGTGAAACCCTTGTAATGTTTAGAACTCAGGTGCGCGGCGCTAAAGAGAAAACCACACTTTGACAAATAACCGCCCTTAATACGGGAAAACTTCAACTTGTTAGAAACGAATGTGCGCGGCGCTAAGGCGAGAACCACATTTTGAAAGCCACCCACCCTCAATCCGTGAAGCTGTCGCCATTTTGTGAAGCTTCGGAATCACAAGTAGTGAGGACGTCTCAAGCGAAACGCCCGGCACGCCCTAAAAACCGGCATCGGTGTGCGACAGGGAAAAGTCAGGTATAAGGAAAAGGAATGGAGGAAGAGGAGGATGAGGAGGAGGAGGAGGAGGAGGAGGAGGAGGAGGGAGAGGGAGAGGAGGAGAAGGAGGAGGGAGAGGAGAGAGGAGAAGGAGGAGAAGGAGGAGGAGGAGGAGGAGGAGGAGGAGAGGAGGAACCAGGAGGAAGAGGAAGAAGAGGAGGAGGAGGAGGAGAAGGAGGAGGGGGGAGAGGAGGAGGAGGAGAAAGACGAGGAGGAGGCAGTAGGAGGTGGAGGAGGAGGAGGAGGAGGGAGGAGGAGGAGGAGGAGGAGGAGGAGGAGGAGGAGGTGGAGGAGGGGAGGAGAGAGGAGGAAAGAGGAGGAGGAGGCGGAGGAGGAGGCGGAGGAGGAGGAGGAAGAGGAGGAGGGGAGGAGGAGGAGGAGGAGGCGGAGGAGGAGGAGGAGGAGGAGGAGGATGGGGGAGGAGGAGAAGGAGGAGGAGGGAGGAGGAAGGAGGGGGAGGCAAGAGGTAGGAGGTAGGACGAGGAGGAGGAGGAGGAAGAGGTGGAGGAGGAGGGGGAGGAGAAAAGGAGGAGGAGGAGGAAGAGGAGGAGGAGGCGGAGCAGGAGAAGGAGAAGAGGAGGAGGAGGAGGAGAGGAGGAGGAGGAGGAGGAGGAGGAGGGGGGGGGGAGGAGGGGAGAGGAGGACGAGGGGGGGGGGAGGAGGAGGAGGAGGAGGTGGAGGAGGAGGAGGAGGAGGAGGAGGGGGAGGAGGGAGGAAGAAGGAGGAGGGGGAGGAGGAGGAGGAGGAGGAGGGAGGAGGAGGAGGAGGAGGAGAGGAGGAGGAGGAGGAGGAGGGGGAGGGGGGAGGAGGTAGGAGCGCTGCCTTGGGCACGCCGCCGTCGGCGCACATCCTGCAGCTCCTGGGCGCGGGGCGCGGAGGTCATGCCCAGGCGCGCCCGCGCGTGCGCCTGTGCGCGCGACGTGCAGGGGCACTGGCGCGGGCCACGGCGCGCGCACAACAGGGCACGGGAGCTGCCGCTGTTGGTCTTCTCTTTCGCGTCCATCCTATCGTCCGAGCTCCATCCTGCTCCTGCTCCGCCTCCTCCTCCTCCTCATCCTCCTCCTCCATCTTCCTCCTTCGTCCTTCTCCTCAGTCCTCCTCCTCCCTGCTCGTCCTCCTCGTCCTCCTCTCAACTCTCATCCTCCCTCTCATCCTCCTCCTTCCTCCATCCCCCTCTCCTCCTCCTCCTCCTCCTCATCTCCTCTTCTTCCTTCCTCCTCCTCCTCAACCCTCCTCTCCCTCGTCCTGTCCTCGTCCTCGTCCTCCTCCTCCTCCTCCTCCTGCTCTCCTCCTCGTCCTCCTCCTCCATCCTC